AAAGACTACTCTGGGCACTTATGCTAGAAGATTGTGATTGCTCTTACCATTTTACTGTCCTTCTCTTTGACTCTTCCCATGAAGCCATGCTGATTCAGGACCCTTTCTCACTCTCCTAGAAGAGAAGTGAAAGCAGTTCAGCTAAGTAGATTAGATATGGTCTCTGAAGTCTTCTCCCCTTACTCATGAGATTTGATTCTTCTATTTTGATGGGAAATGACCTTCTGCTAACCTTCAATTCCATCTTAAGCCATAGTATTAAACTGTCTCCTTTTTAACCACTGCTCCATTCCTCTCTCTGTAACTGTTTCAGACCAGCTCCCTTGATCATGGAGCAGCATGCACCCCTGGTGTGGTGCCAGGCACCTCCGTCCATCTCCTCCCTTCTTCCATGCCTGGCATGGGAAAAGCTTCTAAATGTCTCAGTGTCAGTCTCTTGTTTCATCATGTTGTTGACTATTTCTGGGCCCCCTCGTATGGCTTTTATGTACTCTGAATCATTCAGAGATGGCTTGACAGAATAGACCTCCTTTGGGTTCTTTTCCTTTTTTGGGGAGAGGTAGGGGACAAAGGTAGAATGATAGAAGCAAGGATCCCTAAACCAAATATCTGAACTGAAATAGTAATGGAAAATAAAGCCAATGTTATTTTGAGGCTATTCTCTGCCATATTTATTTTAGCATATTTACCTCATGTGTTTTGTATTACATAAATAATAACATTTGTACTTAGTTAATAGTTTATTATAAGTAATTTATAGTAAGTAGTAAGAGAACGAGTGTGTGTGTCCTCTTTGACACTTTAGATTTTTTTAGCCAAAGAGTGAATGGCACCAACTGATTACCACTTAATGCTATGAACAGTAAAACGGTGATATACAGTGATATATAGCTCACAATTTTAAAAATAGTACAGGGCCAGGGATATAGCTCAGTGGCACAGCGCCTGCCTGGCAAGCACAAGGTCCTTAGTTCAATTCCCGGTACCAAAAAAAAAAAAAAAAAAGTACAGAAAGTGATGCTACGTCAGTTCCATCTCTTTTGTTTTCAAAGAGCCGTAGGACACAGATGGCTTATAACCTTCTCACTCCTGTGTTAAAAGTAGAAAGACAACATGTGGGATAGAAAGGATGGGTGCTCACAGGGAAGGTCACAGGGCCAGTGTCTCTTTTACTCCCCTGCACCTGAGCTCTTTGTCCTCCCTGTTCTCACTCAGTCTCTGCATAAATAGAGTAGGACCAAGGGAGTTGATAAGTAAAGAAATGGTGGTGGTGGTGTGGATAGAGCTTCACTGTGGGAAAGAGCAGTTGACCAAACCCTGTGGAGAGGAGAGGTGAGCTCCTTGGGTGAAGAAATTCCCGCCAATCACTGTTATCAAGAACCCGTGGGCATTTGGTTCTGCCTAGGAGTCAGGCAAGGCAAATTATACCGGACCCCAAATATGGCCATTTACAGTCTAAAAAGTCACAGTGTATAATGTTAAAGTTTTTCTTAGAAACCGGACAATAGCTCACAGATTTTAACAAGTGTACTACAGGACGAGCAAGGCGTTGGGGCAGGGGCTTGTGCAGTGGTCTTCTTGGTCTGAGTTTTGTCATTTCCCCTCTGTAGACTGAAGTATGTGTCATTTCGATGAACTCTCGGGAGTTCTGTGCACAAGAGAGCTGTGTTACACTGAACCTTCCACACGGGCTGCCTGGGGTTGGGGAGTGAGATGGGCTGAACCCAGATGTCTAGAGAATAGCCTTCATTTTCTGAGGAGGCGGGTAGGAAGAACCTGCAAAAGAGGAGAATGCTGCAAAGCTTCAGATTGCATGTGGTGCAACCTGTAGGGCTGGAAAATGACAAGGAAAGCTGACACCACGGCTTGTGTGAGTGGAAGCCACATTCTAACCTCGCTCCTCTTTGTAGGCCCAAAGCTTATTTTCTTTCTTTCTTTCCCTGTTAACACATGTCTTGTTTCATACATCCCCAGGTCTGACAGCCTTCTGTGGACCAGCTCTGGGTCTCAGAGTTATAGGGCTTCACGGTATCTTTTTGCATTTATAGTTGATGTCTTATTTGCAGGTTTTGGTCCTGTCAGTCAGCTCTCCTGATGAGCTCCCACAAACTTACTTCGCTCACTGAATCATTCTGACCAGCCAGTGGTTAATTTTCCTTTTGCAGACTTCAATTCATCCTCCCAGGGTTCCCACTTAGATGTTGTAGTCTTACCAACTTATATACATTCATATGTTGTCACATAAAATTTTTGGCATCCATCATATGTGTATGAGTGCTAACTCACTTTGGTAGAGAGCAGTGGATATTCTTGCCATAATGCAGTGGACGAGTTTAATGCTAATGCCAAAGAAATCAGCTTCAGTCTTACAAGACATACCCAGAAGGGGACTGAGGTACCTAGATTGGCTGTAGCATAATGATGAGTCCAGGAAGAATTGGGTGTGTGCTGATAGCTTGGAGGAGGAGTTTGAGTCACAGGTATTCTTGACTCCAGAGGACAGAAATAAGGGCAGAGTGGCTTTTTCTGTGCATTGTATGAATGAGAAGCTGGGCTAGAACTAATTCTAGCTGAGTATGTCTAGTTCTAGGGTTCTTCAGGGTCTTTAAAGATTTCATTTAGAAGACTTTACCCCTCCCCCTCAAGTCTCTTAGATGAGAGCCTCATACACATTGTTCAGCTCAGCAAAAACACAGACGTATACGTGGGCTGAGGTGAAGAAGGGAGCCGTGGGTCACTTGATCCCCTGCAGAGAACCTGACCACAGCCGCCTCCCTTTGGTGACCCTCTTCTATAAACAGGAACAGGAATTAATACCACTGGATCCCTCTCATCAGGTGGCTTAGGCTCGCTGAATGAAAAGCCCTGTGAAAAGGAGATGCGGCCCTAATAATAACAGACAAGATCGTGAGGGCTATTTCGGGCAAGAGCAGCTTTGTGCCGCTCTTGATCTCCATCGAGGTCTGCCATTCTTGCCCTGCTATTACCTTTCAGATATGCTATTCTTAGAATCATTTGTGAGCTCTGGGCTTGGGGGATTGTAACCCCCAGGACTGGAATGCCCAGCTTGAGTGGAATGCAGACTGTCTGGCATAGTGGCGGTTAAATAAAGTTTGCCTTGGCAGCCCCCTCTGCTCTTTGATGAGCGACCAGTAATTTGGATGTAGGAGCAGCGGCATGAGCGGCCATGTGTTGTGGTCCCAAACAGTCTTCTGGACATGAGCAGAAGTAGCTGAGGGTCCATTCATGACTGGTATAGGCATGCCAGTCTCAGATACAGTACATGTGAGAGACCTCGACCGTCACCTCAGTTGGCTACCACGTCACTCTGGAAAATGCTGAGACAAAGAAAGAGTAATGCAGAAACACCTTCCAAGTTTGAGATATCTGCCTTTCAGAGTTACTGACTAATGTTTGACGGTAAAACAGAAGGAAGTAGTTATTATAATGAAACAGTTGTTAGCAGTCAGCAAACATTTCTTGAGCACTGACACACTTCGGTAAATTTTTAATAGAATCATGGCTCGGGACTCTTGTGGCACTTACAATTCGGTTGAAAGCTCTATGCACATGAGAAAATAATTGATATTCCAGAGTGAAATACTGTCTTCAAACCTATGCTCCAATGCTAAGTGCCAAAGGAGGTGTGGGCAGAAGGAGAGTACTTCTGGCTGGTCCGGTCTGTTAGGGTTTGTGGAGGAGGTGGAGTTAACACAAGACTTCAGTTCCAGGAGAGAAGAGGGCCTCATCAGCAAGGCAGATCACAGGGACTGGAAGGGCTGTGGAGGCCATTGTACAGCAGAACAGCAAGGGAGAGGGGTGAGGACTTCTTGTGTTGAAAACACAAACCCTGGGCCTGGGATATAGCTCAGTGGCACAGCACCTGCCTGGCAATTGCGAGGTCCTGAGTTTGATTCCCGGACAAAAAAATAAAATAAAATAAAAACACCAACCCTTATTCTGCAGGTTGGGATACAGGACACTGAGGGAGTTAAGATACTCCCACTGGCAGAGAGCTAGAAAGGCCTGGTGCAGCCCTTCCCTGGGACTGAGGCCACTCAACACCCCATTTTGCAAACCCTGACTACCATTTGTGGCTCACTGTGGACACTCAGCAAATTAACACTGTTACTGTCACTCGCCTTCACATTCCGTGAGCCTAGCTGTTACACTGGCTTGGTTTCTGCTGTGAGTGGTGGTGCTCACTTCAATTTGCCCTGTTCTGATTGCTCACGTGATCCATGCTTAGCCCATTAAGGTAGGGCTTCTCTAAGAAAACACCATAGGGCTAGGGATTTAAGCTCAGTGGCACAGCACCTGCCTGGCAAGCGGGAGGTCATGAGTATGATTCCCAGTACTGGAAAAAATAAGAAGAAGAAGAAGAAGAAAACACCATAGACTGGTGGTCGAAAGACAGAAATGTCCTTCTCACAGTTCTGAAGGCTTCGAAGTCCAAAATCCAAGCTCTGGCAGATTCAGTGTGTGGTGAGGGCTGTTTCCTTGCTCCTCAGTGCCATCCTCTCTCTTTGTCTGCACATGGTTAGAATGGGTGAGAGCTCTGCCTTGGGTCTCTTTTATAAGGGCGCTCACTTGCTTTCTCAGGGGCTCTGCCCCTCAGGAGTCTGCACCTCGTAATGCCATCACCTTGAGCGCTCAGATTCCAACCTCTGAACCTATGGGGGAGACACAGTTGTGCAGTCCATTACCTTGCTGCACCGTTTCCTTCAGGTTTATCTGAGCCATCTTTTCTCTTCTACTATAGGTGGCTAGAGGTGCAGGTGGATAATCTGACTTGTCCATGGCACTGGGTGCAGTACCTCCGACTTCTTCAGGAGTCCGTCTGGCCCGGTGGAGTTTTGCCTAAGTTTCCACGCCCTGTAAGGACTCAGGAGCAGAGGATGGCTACTGAGAAACAGGCTTTGCAGAGCCTCATGGGAGTCCTGCCAGGTAACTGGACCAGTGAGACTGAATATACTGATAGCTCTTTGCTCCTGTCCTGTTGTGCCACTATCGTCCATACCCTTCCCCATTTTTGAAAGGGCCTAGAATGACTAGGCTCACAAACCAGACTGATAAGAAAATGGCCATGGCTACAGTTCTTCTATTCCTGACTCAGAGATGACAAGGGAATGAAGTGGATCGCTTTGGCTACCCTCTTCCTCAATAGTAGGGCAGAATCCTGTATGTATTTGGCATAAAAAAAAAACTCGTGAGCAGATCTCAGGAAGCAATACCTACAGGTGCAGATCTCAGAGCCATTCTTAGCAACTGAAGGCTCTGAGTTATTGGACAGCTTGTGGTGTTTGAGGACCAGGGAAGAACCTGATGCATTCTGCACAAGCTCAGACTTGATGAATTAGAGACATAACTGGAAACTCTTTCTTCCTTTGTATTGTTTTCAAGAGCGGGAAAGGCAGTGGTAGCCAGGGCACAGTAGTGAACTCAGCGCTAGACCATGGGCATCATTTACCCCTATTAAACCCCTTTGCTCCAACCTAAGCTGTCACCTCAGAAGTGGTACCTGCACTTTGGTGGCAGCTTACAAAATTATCTGTTGTGACCCATTCTTATTTAGGTATCTAACTTAAGGAAACGTATTTCTCTTGGCTTTTCTCTATGGTATGTGATTTTAGTTTGGTATGTGGTTTGGACATGTGCCAGAAATGCCCAACCTGTGTAAGATGGCAGAGACCCTGGGGGGACAACCTCCTTCGTCTCTTAAGGCTTCAGCAGTAATACAGAAATCCTCTATTTTTCTCTCATCAGAATTTTTAGTAGAAGTCCTAGGAGTGGACAAATGCCGGCTGAGCTGGGGGCTCGTCTTGGAGTCCCTACAGCAACCCCTCATCAACAGGTAGGCTGAAGCGCACGTACCTGACACCAGCTGCAGTACAGCTGTCTGAGGTATGTGGGGTTTCTGCATGAAAACCCGCATTCAGAAGGATGGGATCACAGGCTTGGCTTGCCTTGTTCTGGACCCTTGCCCACAGCAATTAATGTCTGGGTTCCACACACACTGAGTGAACTCCACTGTTCAAGCTTCAGAGCAGGTTGTTTTAAGTAGGAAGCTACCATCGGGCCAGCCACCATTTGTATTTGGGAGAACTCCATGCAGGCCTCACATGAGCTACTAAAAATGCCTCTTGGGCTTGTACATTGTGCCTGTTGGTTGTTTCTTTCCAACACCAGCCAGCCTGTGTTAACACTGTGAGAGCACACCCAGGCCTGTACTTGCCTCACAAGGATTTTTCAACGTAAATTCCTGGCCTCACAGCAAAGCTGTGACTAGTGCTGGAATCAGGAGTTGTCTTTGCTTACTATGAAATGGACAAGATGGTAAGGTTGGACTCTAATAAAGGGTCCAGAAAGGATGGAAGAAGACTGCAAGAATAATTCAGAAGAGCGAGGCTCCATCCCTTAGATGGAAATGCTTTTGGAAAGTCTCAGGTACTCCTGCACCGCTCTCTCAAATCCGACCCCAAAGTGGCGTGTGTCTGTGACTCCCACTCCTGGCTTTGCCTCAGTGCTGTGAGCAAGCCTGCTGGAAAGCAGCATTGCTCAGTGATCCACATCACAGGGCTCTCCTGTCACAACTCTTCAGGCAAGTGCCAACGCACTAACACAGCTATGTAAAAAGAAGTGGAATTTTGTAAAACTCTAGTTTCAAGTATTACTCTTACTGTCAGTAGTTCTGCATGGATTTCATGGCAGTTTGTTCATCAAACTGTTGCTGCCAGGCTATAAGTACTGATGTGGGAGAAAGAGAAAACACACGCCATACCCAGGATCCTGTGCTTATGACTGAGCCAGGCCTCCTCTGAGTTGTTTATCTGTTTATTTCAGACATTTAGTTTTCTGCCTTGGCGACATCATTCTGGAGTTCCTGGGTCTCTGTACCTCGACTGAAGACCCTGCCTCAAGCACTACTGCCTCGGAGTCCCCAGGCATCCCCAAGAGGAAGGGTGTCGCCTCTTAGTGGAGTTACTGGAACTTTCTCCTAAGGTCAGCTCCAGTGTCCGGCAGGACACCTGTGCCCTGGGGCCTGGGCTGTGGCTCCGGCTGTGCTTCGGTGACTCAGTTCTCCTTCCAGTTCTGCTCCAGGTGTTGCAGGGGACAAGGGGACCTATATATATCAGTTGCATGCATATTATCCATTCCCATAGCCTCTTGAAGGTTGTTGCTAGTAGTTAAATCCTGTTTGCTTTGCAGAAGGAAGCAGTGAAATAAAAGAATGAGGCCCTTCTCTTTTTGCCTTCCTCAGATTATTTACCACAAGCCTAGCCCTGTGCATGTGTGTGCCTAACTCACCAATACACAAGCTCTGGATAGAGCAGGGGGAAAAAACCATAGCCAGGTTTCCTTGGGGGAAGAAATAATCTTTTGAGCTCTCTGTTCCCACCTGGAAACTGAAAATTCATTCAGGGCCAACCCTGAAAGTGAGACTCCATATCCTACCTAGTTTTCCTACAATTCTAGAAGATGGAAGAAAAATAAGGTATCAAGGGACATCTCACTCCTTGGCTGTTTTTCAGCCTAGCGGCTTTATGGAGGATATCATGAAGGCAACTTCCCTGATAGGCTACCCTTTTCCTGCCCAGAGGGCTTCAGAGCAGACTGCCAGGGCTTCTGTAACTCTGTCCTACCCTACACGCCCTTTCCTGAAAGGGAGTTACACCACAGATTGTATGAGCTTTCCTCCCAGGCCCCTGCTCAGGAGCCCTTGAGCGTGGGGATTTGTGACCTTCCCTCTGTCCTCAGCAAAATCCCATGGCAAGTTATATCTTCAGCATTAGTATTTCCAGAGAGAAGGGAAAACTCAGGCTTCGTGGATGAGAATGCCCAGAGAATAGAAAGCTGGGGACGTAGGAGCCCCCTTCGCAAGTCTTTGGCAGGAAACTTATCCTGAGCGAATAATATTAGCAGATGTACAGAGAATAGCTTTTCTTCTTGCTCCTTAGCCAGAGGTGCTCTGTCAGACTGCATCGTCCCCTAGAAAGGCGGAGCAGTGCGGAGGAATGGCTGATGGAAAAGGAGGCAGGCACAGAGTCCCGGGGGCAATGCTGCCCTCTAAATGCATGTGAGTGCCTGGCAAGAGAGCTTGTCTGTGTCACTGGGACATACATCATGGCTGTCCTTCAGCCTGGCTTTGCGAACTGTGAGCTCCTCCCAACTGTGGAGGTTTTCTGATGAAAACAGGCTGAGCCCTCAAGGACCGGTTCAGTGCTCGTTTAGACTCTGGAGTAAGTGATAAGCACACAATTTAAATTGCTCATAGAAGAAAGTTGTAAAATTGTGACACTTTCCCTCCTGTACTCCAAACCTTTAACCATATATCACATCCTGAAGTAACTGTGAGGCTGAGGTGTACTGTTCTTGCCGCAAAGCAAGAGGATGAGTGAGATGATGTCTCATGACCCCTCTGGGCTTAAAAACTGATTGTGATGGTGACGCGATGGCTCTGAAGTTCTTAAAACATCTGCCACCCTAGATGCTCACAGGCAGGGATACTGAGCATCTGCGCCTTGGGCGGAGCATACAGCGCTGTGGAGCTGTAGGGCTCCAGCCTGACCCTCTGCAGCTGCTGCAGTGCAGGCTGTTCTGTTCTAGATGGGAGAAGGGAGACGGTGAGCAGCCAGTTTCTGCTGCCCTCGGCCCCCGCACTTGCCCCTCCTGTAGCTTGCCACTACTTTGTTTGAATCTGCTGTCAGTTGTGGCTCAAGTGTGGCACAAATTCAGGGGGTCAGTGAGCTAACACACCCTAAATTACCTGTGGCAGAGAATACTAAGGAATCTCTGGACATTTCCAGCCCACAGAACTTCCTCATACCTCGCGTTATATAAGAAGCCCCAGGGCTGGGGATACAGGTCAGCAGCATAGCGCCTGCCTAGCAAGTGCAAGGTCCTGAGTTCGATTTCTAGTAACCCTCCCTCCCAAAAAAGAAGCTCCACCTCTCCTTTGCCTGTCCCCAAAAGATAAGCTGTCCTCAGACCCTCCTTCAACCCAGGAGGGAAGGAGTGGGTATCCCCAGCGATATAATCGGCGCCCATCTGGGTGTGAAGGTAACCTTCACACGTGGATGGCAGGTCCAAACAGAGAGAGCAGTGTTGGATGGAGCCAGGGGGTCATGAAGAGGCTCCCAGCCTGGTGCAGAGCACTAACCCAGAACTCGTCCTTTTTTTTTTTTTTCAACTGTGACTAAGTTTTATTCACCTGTCAGAATGTTAATATTTGAAATAAGATGAAAGCCTTTTCTCTCCTCTGATACCTCTATTAATAAAAAAAAAAGAAGAGAGAAATACTGTGTTCTTTTCTGTCAGATTGTAAATGTGATCCTTACCATTGCTTCTTTGAATTCAAGAAAGCTGTACTTCATCGTCACAGGTACTTCATCGTCATACTTCATCGTCACATTTTTATTTTCATATTTATAGATGAGGCTTCACAAAACCTAAATATACTCGAGAATCTGGGCAGAGCAGCGTGTAGATGCTCAGATTGTGTTCATTTTAACATGAATACAAGTGACCCCAACTTCCCATTTTGAAATTTCAAGTCATTGTAAAGAAACATATGCAGTGAGATCTACCCTCTTAGCAAATTGTGTAGTACATTGTTGCTAACTGTAAACGGCACCGTTGTCTATCAGATCTCTAGCGATTCGTCATCTTGTATAGCTAAAGTTCATGCCCATGGAATATAGCAGTTTCCGTCTCTCTCTCCTGCGCTTGCTAGACGGAGGTGTTAGATTAAAGATCCAGCATTCTATTTTTGGCTTGAATGAATTTATGTGACTGCATATAAGCAGGATTACACAGTGTTTGTTGTTCGCTTCACTTCGCGTATTTTCCTCCAGGGTCATCCATATTGTATAGATAGGCCACACTTTCTTCACCCATTCACCCACTGACAGACCATTAGGTTGCTCTCACAGCTTGATTGCTGTTGCCTAGCCCCATTTTATAGGTGGAAAATGAGGCACAGAGAGGTTGTTACTTAAGTTATTTCCAAGGAAATGGTAGAGCCTACATACATATCTTGTCCACTGAGAAACCTATGCTAAGCAAAATATGATGAGGTTCTCACTCTTAAAGAGTCTGTGCTGTAGACTTTTTCTCTAAGGAGCCAGGGAGAACTATTTCAGGCTCTGTGGCTATAATCTCTATTATCCCTTATCAGCTCTTCCACTGTAGTGTGAAAACACCCATCCACAAGTCATGCATATGTGTGACTGTCCCAGTAAAACTTGATTTAGAAAATTAGGCCACTGACCAGACCAGGGAGTTGTAGGTCACCAGTGAGTGAATTAGAATATTGTTTACCAAGCTGTAATGCACCTGTGATTCACTTGGGATCTTGTAAAAATGCAAGTTTGGATTCAGAAGTCTGGGACAAGGCCTAGTAAAACTCACGTGCTGTCCAAACATTCCTCATTGAACAACTGAGTTACCGTTCCTGTGACTAGGTCATTAAATGAATTGGTCACTAAATGAGGAATTACATATACTATGTACCTTATAATATTTAGAACAAAGAAATGGTCAAAGAAAAGTCCAACTTGATGACTTTGCTTTTATTTGCATACTTAGATGCAGTACTATAATGTATAACAACATAAAACTACAGTGCAAAGTACAGTACTGTATAAACAAGGTATACTGTACAAAAGACAGATTGAGGCTCCATAAAGAAGATATGCAGTACTGTACCAAAAAAAAGAGGGGCATAAGTTTGAGTGGCGGCCATAAGTCCAAATAACGGGTCTTGGTCCTAAGTCCAAATAGCTGTTAAACAGGTAATTCATTAAGCGAGGAATAGTTCTATAAAAATGTGGGTGACATGATTGTGCCATGCCTCTGTTTTGGAGGAAGCAATGGACATGCCTTCTTTTAGGAGCCCGTTGGGCCAAGCCACCCTGGCAGACCTCAGTTCCACAGCACCCTCAGCACCTGCTGCTCGGCCTTTTTCATCAGAGAAGGATGTGTTTTCCCAGGATGAAGAGAGGTTGCTTAGCTCATACTCCTGGTTGGGAAAGGGATGGAACCAGGGAAGGAACAGTAGTGGGGAGGAGGAAAACCATGATGTGTTTGTGTTGAACGTCCAACTGGGAAAGCTCCGCCATAGCTTGGCACCTGTTTCCTTTCCACCAGAAGTGCCAGAAATCACAGGTCACTTGCCACTCACACTGCCTCTGTGCACGAGAGGATGAAACGTGGAGCTGCCTATCGCCGTTGCTCCTACGTGAGAAGAGACACTGCTACAGATGAGTGGGATTTCTCAGGAGAGAGACAGTGAGGGAGACCCTGCCTGGCTGTGATTTCCACATGCTGCCCCTTACCTGATATTTCCTGTTACTCAGAGACAACACTGGCTGCTTTAAAAAGAAATGTAAACCCAGAAGAATGTCAAGCATGACAGCAGCAACTGAAGCAGACCTGTGCTGAAGCGGTGGAGAGATCGATAGTGGGCGCGACAGTGGTCTTGGCAGACGCACCGAGCTGTTTGCAGACTTGCTGAGGTTTCTTGCTGCCTCCCCATCACTTCTCACCCATCCTGGTCTGAAGTCCATTTTAACTGCTTTCCTGGAGGCCGGAGCAAGCAGGGAACAGGATACAGAGGACTCCTCAGCTTTGATGTTTATTCACTAAGACAACACGATCAGATTTGTCCACACGTTTTCCTCTTGAGCCTTCACCTGCAAGCACTTTCATGGCGTCACACCAGTTCAGGGATGTGGAAGGAAGCTATAAGAAACAGTACCAAAATACATACAGAAAAAGCATTTCCTGAAGCGACATTATCTACTCTTTCTAACCCAGAGAGATCACTTGTCTGAGAAATCCCAGTCAGTGTTTGGGAAATGCAAGCTAATTGTGGTCTGAAAGCATTAATAATGATCAAGAAGGTAAATGTGTGTAGTTTATAAGTAAATAATCCACACTGTGGCTTTTTGCTTCCTTTTATGTTCCATGTCACAGCTTCACCCAGTTCTTACAAGCAAAAGAGTGTTGGCTGTGGTTACGTCTAGGAACTTAAATTTACTCATGACCAAGCTACACGAAAGCATTACCCACTGCAGACAGAGACTGTAACATGTCCACAGAAGCTGGGATTCATCTGTTCTGTCCTGAGTCGAGGTGGATTTGGTGAACTGTCAGCCGAAGTCAGTAATGATGAACCTGTTAGAGGTTTCAGTGATGACAAACCCCCTGCTGCAGCACTTGTGCCATAGGTTCAACACCACT